CCCCCCCAATTTGTGGACTCTGCCAATGAAAGATGGAAAGACCCAGCCATACCGCTTCCAGCATACACGGATGAGAGGCATTCAGCATTCATTTTCTTCTAAAAGATGACCTTTTCGCCTCCTCTCTATCCGCAACACCCTTGGGGGGTTGCGTGTGTTGTTAAGCGGTCACGCTAGTTACCAGTGTCTTTGACTGGTAACGCCAGGCCTGGTAACGTTAACAGGCTTTAGAATAGGATGCCTGTCTCCCTCGACTGTGAACAGTGTTGCCAGCTGACTTCTATGAGATGCTGTTGGTGTTCAAGAGCAGGCCAGGAAGTTGTTTTTCCCCTTCTCATCAGTTGGAAACCCCAAGTTGAAACTTTTCCATGTTCTTGGAACTTGAGATTCGCTTCGGTATTTTTTTGATCTTCCTGATCTCTCTGCTTCCCCTTTTTCCTTTTATTAGGTAGTTTTTCTTTTCTTTTTTAAAAAAAACATTTACTGTGAGCCTGCTGGGGTTTTTTTAGATGTTTGTGATCGTAGTATGTTTTAGATGCTGTTAGGAATAATTCAGGGACGGTGGGAAAAGCTTTTGCCTGAGTAATTCCTGTGTCTCGTGGTGCTGTGGAAAGCACAGGATCAGGGCCAGATGAGAAGCTATATATATTCCTTAGTAGACCGAGGTGTACATGCTAGGATGGATTTTTTCTACTCGTTGAGCCACACAGACCTGTTGCTTGTAATAAAATCTGGCATGGTTGGTTTAGTTTTAATCAATAAATAGGTGTTTTACAATCACTTGGAATTATGTTCCTTTTTAAAAAGTAGACTGTGACAACCTCCTTAATGGGGAGACTGTTTTTCCTTTAAAACACACTCTGTTCACATAAACTTGGTAGATTACTACTGCCACCAGGAATTAAAATTTTCAAATCTCTCTATTATGGTAGAATGGACCCTGTGTCTGGGCACTTCAGAGGACTATGTGGCCCTGAGGAAGGACTGTTCTGACTGCTGGGATAAGTTTAAACAAAATTATTTATTTATAAAATAATTAAATAGGTTTTTGGGTATTTTTGAATTGTTGTTGAAGAAAGGAACTTATATAAATATGACTGATAAAGCTTGGCATTACACACTGTCTCTCAAAACACCAAAACTCAACTCTGACAGCCTTAGTCACACAGGCTAAACTCTGCCTCTCTTAGCCACACAGGCTAAACCGTTTGTCTTTGCCACACAGGATAGACTCAGACTGCTGCTTCTGCCATACAGGCTAAAAAACCCTCTCCACACTCATCTCTCCAAAAACAAAATCCCCTCAGAGACACTCCTCCTTCTACACACTCAGTCATCAGCCAATCACATCACAGTTGTCTCCTTTTATCACTCTCCTTACATTACTGCAGTCAAGCTAAACATTTAAAGAAACACGCCAAAACATGAATGAAATCATTACATAGACTAATAGTGTTTTGGCAATATTTTGGAAGCTCTCCCACTCGAGAGTCAGTTGCTTTGAACTTCGTGGGCATTACTGCTTCAGCAAGAGAGAGTACAGGATCTGGAAGAGTCAAGCACAATAGACCTGGCTTCTGCCTGTCCCTCCTTAGGGCCGCTGCCTTGACAGCAAGAGCGAGCAAAAAAAAGGCAACCAGCGTTGGGATATGGGTTGGATGAAGGGAGGTGTGTACTTACCTCTGGAGCAGAGCTGCTCTGTGAAGAACGTAGAACAGAATTTTAGGATATATGGGAGGGGACTGGTGGCGTAAGGGTAAAGCCTTGCATGCAGAAGTTTCCAGGTTGTTCCTGGGGCCTCCCAGTGAAAAGGGTCTCGGGAACTTGAAGCCTTGGAGAGTTGCTTCCGGGAATAAATGCGATGAACCTTGCCATCTGATTCAGCCTCGATTCTGTGAATTCAGGCAGGCAGTGGGCTCTTCCGCATTGCCATTCTTGTCACACGTCTGTCCCTATTGCTTTTCCACATGTGTTTTGCTCTCTCTGGGACTACTAGAGAGAGCAAAACACATGGGGGGGGAGAAGAGAAATCTGAAGCAACAGGGACAAACAAGTGACAAAAATGACAGTGTGGAAGAGCCCCATGAGAGGGATGAGCTGGGGCTCGGCTCCCGTGCCCCTTTGGACATGCCCGGAGTAATGCTGATCGCCACTCTGGGGTCAGGAAAGAATTTTTCTCCGGGCCACACCGGCTCAGGGATCCTGGAGGTTTTTTTGCCTTCCTCTGGGCATAGAGCAGGGCTCACTAGGGGAGTGGAGGAGGGAGGTAGCTGTGGATTTCCTGCACTGGGCGAGGGGGTTGGACTAGGTGACCCCTGAGGTCCCTTCCCGCTCTGTGTCTATCTGTCATGAGTAATCTTTGCACCTCACCATGAGAACAGTCGCTTTGAACCACGTGGAAAGCTGGGGTATAAAAAGTTTAATAAATAAAAATGGTTTAACAAAGCTTTAATACAGGTTTTTATTAACCTCCTGTGTGTCAGTAGTCTCCCAGATGTCTAGGAATGCATCTAAATTATACTCAGATGCTCATACTCTTGTGATGTTCTCGGTTCAAAAGTGTTTTAAGAAACTGGAGAGCTTCAGATGCAAGATGATAGGAGTTCCTGATGAAAGGTGACCGGGCCTGAACTTAGGCGAGACAGAAACCAATGTCGGTCTTTGCCAAAATGTGTCACTTTTTAGTTCTGATTTATCCTACAAGGTTTATCGGTTTATGGTTGTTTCTTACCTGCCTCATAGTCTGTGTCCATGGTGGAACAAGAAAGTGCTGGTACCGGGTGTAATCTCTCTCCAGCATCTCTGCCCCTCACCCTTTTAAAAATGAATCCGTAGCTGAGCTTGGAAACATTGCCAGGTACAAGAGGCATGCATGCATACCCACCCACATGCAAGAACAAAACTGAATCTGCCAATCGCACCTCCTAAAGGAAGAAATGCATTTTGTTCTTGCTTTGGAGGGTTCAGTTTGTAACCTAGGACTTGCTTGTCCTCAGTGCACATAAATTAGATCAATCTGATACCATATATATATATATATTAGAAATGATTTGGAAAATATTTGAACACCTTGCCTTAAAATATTTTATTCATCATGTTAAAATAAAATGTTCCATAATCATATTTTTTTTCTTTTTTCAATTTTTCCAATTTTTCGGAAAAAAACAAAAAGGCTTCAGGAAAAAAACTGAAAAAAACCCAATTTTTTCCCTGAATTTTTCCGTTTTTTTCCAAGAAATCTGGAATTAAAACATCTCCAGACTAGAGATACCAGTCCCACTGGATAAAATGGTTGTTTTGGAGGGTGGACTCTTAAGGCAAAGGTGTCAGACTCATTTGTTACAAGGGCTAGATCTGTCATAAATGTTTGTGTCGGGCCAGGCCATGTGTGCCATAAAATATAATGCCAGGTATTAGAGATAGAAATTGTATAAAAGACAGCAGCCGGTAAGCTCCCAGTCGGTGTGTCCTCACCTCAAGGCACCCTGGGATGGGGGGTGCAGAGGAAAACCCACAGAGGGGGACCGGAGAGGCAGCAGCGCAGTGCTGGGCAGATGCTCCCACGATGCTTGACTGCTGCAGGCGAGGTGGTTCTGCTGTGCTGAAGCCACAATGGAGTGACTCTGCCCACTCCCTCCCTTGCATCAGTTGCTCACAGGCCGCATAAGAGCCCTGGATGGGCCAGATTCGGCCCCCAGGCTTTATGTTTGGCACCCCTGCCCTAAGGCATTATATTTTGCTGAGGTCCCGCCCCCCCCCCCCCAAGTATTCAGGAATTTCACAACCTGGAGTGGGCAACAATGTTCCCTCTATTTTCACCCATACGGAGTGGAGCAGTTCGCATCTTTGAGCAGAATATAACTGCTGTGCTCTTTAAAATGGGCAGTGCAGGACCCTGTGTGGCTCCAAATTGCTGCTGAGCAGGGCTTCCCGTGCTCACACACACAGTTTAGAGGGAACCCTGGTTGGCACCACTACTTTGGGTTTGGTGCAGTGTTTTAGAGTGCTGGATTCTAATCTGGGAGAACTGGGTTTGATTCCCCAATCCTCCACGTGACATGCAGCCAGCTGGGTGGCATTGGGTCAGTCCCAGTTCTCTCAGAGCTGTTCTCTCAAGAGCAGTTCTCAAAAGAGCTCTCTCAGCCCCACCTACCTCACAGGGTGTCTGTTGTGGGGAGGGGAAGGGAAAGGAGATTGTAAGATGCTTTGAGACTCCAAGTGAAGGGCGGGGTATAAACCCAGTCTCTTCTTCTTCCATAGTTTGGCCAATCAAATTCCCTGTTAATAGATCAGTGTTGGGCAAAAATAAAGGTTTATTTCCCTTCCAGGATTAACAACTGCTCAGTGCAGGGGAGGGTGTTAATTCTCCTGAACTCATGAAGCTGCCTTATACTGAATCTGTTCACTACTGTCTACTCAGACTGGCAGCAGCCCTCCAGGGTCTCAGGCAGAGGTCTTTCACATCACCCACTGCCTGGTCCTTTTTTTAAACTGGACATGCTGGGGATTGGACCTGGGACCTTCCGCATGCCAAGCAGATACCCTACCACTGAGCCACAGTTTCTCTGGTTTCTGTCTGAATTTAGGCGCTACATAGGTGGAACGTTCATTGAGAAAACACTGGGAAAATCCATACATGAGTCTTCCAGCATTCAGCCTGTGGTCTGGTTCTCATGTGCAGGAGTATGAGGGAGTAGAGTGGGCTACACCATTTTGGATGTCGTGGGGGCATGACATTTTCGGAACACTCCTACGCTACATGCCTTTTCATCTAAGGGGGGGTATAACTTTATTTCTTGCTCTGCGAGTTTTCTATTTGAAGGGAGTGTTAATTATTT